CCGGTTAAAAAAAAAAAAAAAAATACGGTTTCCTTTCGGGTTCCCCCCCAACCCCCCCCTTGTTTTTTTTGGGGGGGTTTAAGGGGAAGGGCCCCCAAAAAATAGGGGTCCCCCCCCCCCCCCCCCCCCCCGTGCGCTCTTGGTCCGCCGAACGTTTCGCCGCCTGAACCGAACCCAGTCCGTTCGTTCCGACATGGACGCCGGTCGGGCAGCCGCCGGCCTTCCCGTGGCCAACTGGTCGGAGTCTCACATGGTGAACGTCCGGCTGGTGGTTGACGTGCTGATCGCACTCGGGCTGGTGAAGTCGGACTATAACACGGTGGAGCAGTCGGCCGGGTGGCCGATGGACGTGCACCCTCCCAGCGAGAGCCACGGCGGGTGAGAGCTTGGTTGCAAACGACACTGGCGCGGCCTCCTCTCTATATTTAGAAAATATATCTACATCAAAACGCAGACTCATATACCCGTTCGAGATACAATCACAATCGAAAAGGTGTTTATTTCTGGTCTTACAACAACACAACAGATTCATCTCTCTACAGAGTCCGGGATCATTAGCAGTCGATCCATAGCACTGACGCGCACACTATGGCAGTACCTGTGTTTCTACTCGTGTTTCCGAGCAGCATATGGCGATGTCTGCCCTTTTTGGGTAACAAGCTGAACAAGACACTGCGGTGGCCATCTTGTGTATCTGACGATACCCTCGTGTTTTTTTTGCTCGTCCTCGCCCGGGTGGGCGGGCGCCATTTTTCATCACTTTCCTTCACGGGCGTGCTCCCCTTGTATCCTATTATGCTTATGCTTGTGGCTGGCGTGTTGATGTTGGCAGCTGTTGCAATCAGAAGTTTTTCTGTGTAACGACGGTGCGGGACAGAAACAACTCGCCATCACGCCATCCACTCTCTCGGCTCTCTCGGTAGATTCGGAGTCGTCATTACATGGTTGATTGTTCGAACCTGGGACGTGTACTGTTTCGCAGCGGCGTGATAGCGGAAAGGTGTAGCGCATGCTCGTGATTGTGAACCCCTGAGTTCAGTGGGGGTTCAAGGTGACATGTGGCAGCATAGAGGGACCCCCCCCCCCGCCGGTGGGGAGTATTTCTAGAACCCGTCTGTGTTATGTTCGTCGTACTCTCCCGCTCAGTCTCGTGGTTTCCGCCGTCGCATCCTCCGTCCCTACTCATTTGCGTGACCGATCGCTGTTTTTTTTTTTTCCTCGTACGCTCTTGCCTGTTGTCCATCCGTCCCCACAAGCGCGCCGGCGCCGTGCTTCTGCTCGTCGGTGATGCGGCGTGCCATGGCGCGGCACACCAAGATGGCGACCCCGGCCGTGCCGGCCGCGTTGCCATCGCTCACCGCGTCTTTCCCGATCGACCCGTTTCAACTCGGCATACCGTGGAACCCGGGGTCGGGCGGGGGCGGCGGCGGCGGTAGTGGCGGCAGGTACGACGGCGGCGGGGTGTCGGCCGCGACCTCCGCGAATCGCTCGCCCGTAGGCGGCGGCAACAACGCGGCGGTTTACGGCGTGCCGGGCCAGGTTGGGGCGCCTTCGACGGTGGTCGCGCGGGCGGCGGCGATGCAAGGGGGGCGGCTTACGGGCGGAGGGGGGGCGTTGTCCCCGAAGAGGGAGATCGAGGCCGGCGGCGGCGCGGGGTTGCCGGGGAGGTTGCTGGTTGAGCCCGCGGCGCCGGTGGCCGCCGCCGCCGCGGCTTACTCGGCCGCGGCGCGAGTGGCCGATCTGCAGGCCTAAAGGTCGGCAGCCGTGCAGATGCCCCCTTCTTCCCCGCGGCAGTGCGACCAGCAGTACCAG